CTTGCCTCACATGCATGAGACACTAGGTTCGACCCTCAGCACCACGTAAAAAATAAACACACAAATAAATAAAAACAAAGATATTGTGTCCATCTACAACTAAAAAAGTGTTTTAAAAAGAAGTTCATAACATAATGAAAATGGAAACTGGAAATCAATAGAGAACTATGCAAATTATTCAAATACATGAATTTGAACAATATACTTTTGAAGAAAGCAAGGGGGAATTTTAAAAAATTCCTAGAACAAAATGAAAATGAAAATAAAACATATCAGAATCTATGAAACACAATGGAAACAGTTTAAAAAGGGGGTTCACATATTAGAAAAATATCTCAAATGATAATCTAAAATTAAATGCTTCTTAAGGACTTGGACAAGCAAGAATAAATCAAACTGAAAAATCATTATAAGGAAAGAAGTCATAAATATTAGTGGAGAAACTGGTAAAGAGAATACTATAAGAACAATACAGAGTATCAGTAAAATAGAGTTGGTTCTTTGGAAAGATGACCAGAATGATAAAACTTTATCCAAACTAACAATAACAAAGACAAGATCCAAATAAATAAAATTATGGGGAAAGTAGATATTAAAACAGATGCCACTGAAATTCAGATCATTAGGGAATATCTAATAAAAAATATCTAATAGCACTAATAAAAAAAGCCTCCCAGCAAAATAAAAAAAAAATTCCAGGACTAGATGAATTCATTGGTGATTTTTACCAGACTTTTAAAGAAAAATTAATATCAATAATCTTGAAACTATTCCATGAAATATAAAGCAAATGAATATTTTCAAATTCAAATTCCTAAAGCTCAGTATTGCCCTGCTACCACAACCTGATAAGGACATAACAACAAAAAAATAAAACTATTGCCCAATATCCTTGAAGAACATCGATGCAAAAGTCTTCAATTAAGTACTTGCATACTGAATTCATAACACGTTAAAAATATCATACACCATGATTAAAATGGTATCATTCTCATGATTCAAGGTTGATTCAACTTAAACAAGTAAATAAACATAATGAACAACATACATAAAATAAAGAATAAAAATCACATGATCATCTCAATAGATGCCTAAAAAGCTTCAATACTATTCAAAATATCATCATGAGAAAAAAAAACTGAATATGGGATGGATTCAAATTCAAAAGTTTTTTCTCAGCAAAAGAAATAATATGTGAGGTGAATAGGGAGCCTATATCCTGGGAACGAATTTTTACCCCTCACACATCAGATACTGCTCTAATCTCTAGGGTATATAAATAGCTCAACAAGATAAGCACCATAAAAACAAATAATCCAATCAATAAATGGGCCAGGACCTGAACAGACACTTCTCAGAAGAGGATATACAATCAATCAACAAATATATGAAAAAAAGCTCATCATCTCTAGAAATCAGAGAAATGCAAATTAAAACTACTCTAAGATACCATCTCACTCCAGTAAGAATGGCAGCCATTATGAAGACAAACAATAAGAGCTGGTGAGGATGAAGGGGGAAAAAGGTACACTCATACACTGCTGGTGGGACTGCAAATTGGTGCAGCCAATTTGGAAAGCAGTATGGAGATTCCTTGGAAAGCTGGGAATGGAACCATGATTTGACCCAGCTATTCCTTTTCTTGAACTATACCCAAAGGACCTAAAAACAGCGTACTACAGGGACACAGCCTCATCAATGTTTATAGTAGCTCAATTCACAATAGTTAAACTATGCAGCCAATCTAGATGTCCTTCAGTGGATGAATGGATAAAAAAAAAATGTGGTATTTATACACAATGGAATATTACTCAGCACTAAAAAAGAATAAGATCATGGCATTTGCAGGGAAATGGATGTCATTAGAGCAGATTATGCTAAGTGAAGTTAGCCAATCCCCAAGAAAACAAATGCCGAATGTCTTCTCTGATATAAGGGGGGGGTGACTCAAAATGGGGTAGGGAGGGAGAGCATGGGAGGAAGATTACCTCTAGATAGGGAATAGGGGTGGGAGGGTAAGGGAGGGAGAAGGGTAATAGCATGGATGGTGGAAGGAGACCCTCATCATTATACAGAATTCATGTATGAAGATGTGAATTTGGTGTCTAACATACCTTATATACAGAGATATGATAAATTGTGGTGTAAAAGTGTGTTAAGAATTGTAATGCAAAAAATAATAATAATAATAAGAGAGCTCATGTATAATGGCATAATTTGGTGTGAACATACTTCATATAGTTACAAAAAAACTATGCTGTGAATGGATAATTATGATTGTAATACATTCCACTATTGTCATGTATGTAAGAAATAAAAAAACTGAATAAAGTATATATGGAAGGATCATATTTCAATATAATAAAGACTACATATGACCAACATTTTGGTGACATCATACTAAATGGGAAAAAGTTGAAAGCATTTTCTCTAAAATTAGGACCATGTCAAGCGTTCCCACTATCACAACTCTTATTCAGTATGGTAGTAGAGATCTTACCCAGAGCAATTAGGCAGGAGAAAGAAATTCAAGGAATACAAATAGGAAAGAAAAAATTCATATTAGTCCTCTTAACAGATGATATAATGCCCTAAAGAGTCCATCAAATGTCTCTGATAACTGATAAACACATTCAGAAAAGTAGCAAATTAAAAAAAAACAATATACAAAAATTGATAGATTTTCCATATATCAACAACAAATTCTCTGAGAAAAAAAAATTAGGAAAAAACAATTCTATGTTTCAAATACAAAACTTCAAAAATACAAAATACCTCTTAAAAAAAAAAAAAACCTAACCAAGGAGTGAAAAACCTCTGTAATGAATAATATAAAACTTAGAAGCAATAAATTAAAGAAAAGTAGAACATCCATTTTCATTGATTGGGGCAATTAATATTCTTAAAATGACGAAACTACCTAATACAATCTACATATTCAATAAAATCCAAATCAAAATAATAATGACATTCTTAATAAAACTGGGGAAAAATCCTAAAATTTATGTTGAAGCATAAAAGATCCTGAATTACCAAAGCAATCCTGAACAAAAATAACAACACAAGAGGCATCTGAATTCAAAACATACTGTAGAGTCATTATTATAAAAACAGCTTGGTATTGGCATAAAAACAGACATGAAGGCCAGTGAAACAGAATAGAGAACCCGGGAAAACTCACACATCTAATAAACCTATCAGACTCAAAACAAACTAGCCAAAAAACATGCACTGCAGAACCACAGACTCTTCAACAAGTGGTGGTGGGAAATATTTAATTTCCATCTACTGAAAATTAAAATTAGATGCCTGTGTCACACACCATAAATCCAGACCATGGTGGAAGGCTTAAAAGTCTGTAACTACTAGAAGAAAACATACAGGAAACACTTCAAGATATAGGTATAGACAACAACTTCCAGAACAGGATTCTATAGCTCAGGAAGTAATGTTAGGAATCGGTAAATGGGATTACATCAAATTAAAAAGGTTCTGGGGGCTGTGGTTGTGGCTCAGTGGTAGAGCACTTGCCTAAGGCACTGGGTTTGATCCCCAACACCACCTAAAAAATAAATATATAGGGCTGGGGCTGTCGCTCAAGCGGTAGCGTGCTTGCCTGGCATGCGTGTGGCCCGGGTTCAATCCTCAGCACCACATACAAACAAAGATGTTGTGTCCACCAATAACTAAAAAAATATAAATATTAAAAAAATTAAAATAAAATAAATATATAAAATAAAGTTATTACGTCCATCTACAACTAATTTTTTAAATAGCTTATCTTAAAAAATGTTTCTGGGGAGAGACATGATGGCAGATTAGAGAAAGGAAGCACTTTCCAGTTGTTCCACAGCTTAAGATTAAAGCAGTAGGAGTATACTTTTTAAGAAGGCAACTCAAGGAATTCACCAAAATTCAATATTTGACATAAAATAATCATGAAGACACAGAAACTCAGAAGCTCTGAACAAAAAACAAGATATAATACATTAGAGACACAGCAGGTTTGATGGTACCAGTGGCATCTGTGCTACAAGTTCACTACAAATAGGAGGGATAATACAGACAGAAAGAGATAAAAAGTACTCTGAATAAATTTGGCTCAGGAGAACCTGTGGAACAGAGAGGGAGACTGATCTTAACTGACTCAGAGACAGCAATGCAAGCCGATAATGGAGAAATTCTCTAAATCTCTTGGCCAGCAAGCAGAGGGTTGAAATGGGAGCCATTTTCAAGTGGCCATATGGCAGCTTTCAGTGGCAGGACGCTGAGAGTTCATAAAAAGCAAAGAGAACTAACGAGTCTGCCAGTCTGTTCCAGTGAACACTTGCTGACTGATGGGAGCTCCATAGTATGCCTGGTCCAAGAGACTGAAAAAGGCACAGAGAGGATTTTTCCCAGGGGTATCCTGGGGATTCTAAGGGGAGAGAGGTTTATGATCTCTTTGTTTCTCTTCTCATTCCTGATCTTAGAGGACATGTTTTCAGTTTTTGTATATTCAATATGATGTTGACTATGTATTTGTCATATATAGCCTTTGTTATGTTGAGTTATAATCCTTTTATACCTAATTTGTTCAGGACTTACATCATGAAGGGGTGTGAAATTTTATCAAATACATTTTCTGCATCTATTTATATGATCATAGCATCTTTTCCTTCATTCTCATAATATGATGCATTATTTATTTGCATATGTTGAAACATTCTTTCATCTCTGAGATAAAATCAAGTCGATCATGGTAAATAAATCTTTTTGATATGTTATTGAATTTCATCTGCTAGTATTTTGGGGGGATTTTTACATATATATTTATCAGGGATTGGTCTCCATTTTGCTTTTTTTTTGGAACAGTGATTCTAGCCTTATAAGGCCTAATGAGTTTGGAATTCTTTCAATATTTTGAAATTGTTTAAGAAGAATTAGTCTTAGTTTGTCTTTATTTTTTATTTATTTTTTTTAATTCAACAACATATTTTATTTTTTAAATTTATTTACAGAAGAGGACCAGGCTGATGAGACACATGTGATTTCGTCAAGTTCACACAATTGACACCAAAATCAAGAATATCTGAGTATGTCATATTTCTTGTATAAAACTGCTTGTTTGTATAGTTATCTTTTTAGAAGAATTAAATAAAATATTCACTATTCTTGTGAAAAATTTTAAAATTCAAGTTGTTCCTCCTGCAATATTTCTTGCAAACAAGACAGTCTAACCTTGCCTAGAGAAAATTTTGTGGTTTTAAGACCTAGCATTCAGAGCCATTCTTAAATGACACTTCCTGCATTTTCAATTATCTCTGAATTCCAAGAACTCATGGTTAGTAAAATTATTAACTAGAACTAAGACTCTAAGCTTGCTTTCTGGAGTATTAAAGTAAATAAATGCTTTCTCAGTAAAACTATCAGAACTCAGAAAAATACTTATGTAAAAATACATGGTGCATATTGTATTTATTTATAATGTTTTCATTTTGTTGTTGTTGTTATTCTTTTTTAATTTTTTAAATACATGACAATAGTGGAATGCATTACACTCATTATTACCCATATATAGCACAATTTTTCCTAACTCTGTATATAAAGTATGTTCACGCCAAATTATGCCATTATACATGTATTTATTTTTGCATTACAATTCCTAATACACATATATACCACAATTTTTCATATCTCTGTTTGTATATAAAGTATGTTGACACCAAATTCAAAGCATACAGTGCTTGAAATATAATAAATGATCAATAAATATTGGCTAGAAAAATATTCTTAAGGGCAGGAAATTGTTGACAATAATGAAGTTTACTTGTGCATATACAACCTATTATGTACTGGAAACTCACCTGGCTCTAACCTTTAACCATTGGATAATGTCTTCCTTCATGAGGAGTGATAGGAGCTCTTTCCTACTAAACAGGTCCATGAATTCTGGACTAGAATAGAAAAGCATACTACCAAGCAAACAGTTTTAGGATCAAATTAAAGCTAAAGTTTCTGTTATTGTCTTTTTATGATTAGAACCTCCAGAGTCATAGGATATAAATGACTTTTTTTTAACCTTGAGGGAAAGAGGCCTTCCTGGCTTTATTTAATTCAAACTTTCTCACTCTTGTTTGATTACTAATATATTTTATTATGACACATCTGCCAGTAGTCAAAGGGATCACGGTACTTGGGTTAGTACATTAGACCAGGGCTGCAGCCATCTAAAGTAAAGACAAGGATGGGATTGGGAGCTTGCCTTTCACAGAGTGGTTTGTAGGAGGCCTCACATGTACTCCTCCACAAGATTGCTTGAGTGTTCTCATGACATGGCAGCTCACTTCCTCCTTAACAAGTGATCCGAGAGATACAGGAAGACAAATACCAAAAGGTTCTTTAATTGAGCTGGAGTTGTGGCTCAGTGGTAGAGCACTTGCCTGGCATGTGTGAGGCCCTGGGTTCAATCCTCAGCACTGCATATTGGGGAAAAAAAAAGATCCATTTACAACTAAAAAATATTTTTAAAAATGTTCTTTAATCACTTAGTTGAAAGTGATCCAGACCCTCAATTCTAGCACACTGGGTTTACTCTAAGTGAGTCACTAAATTCAGCTCATCCTCTCACGGAGAAGCATTGAACTGTATTTCATGAAGGAAGGAGTTTCAGAGAAGTCAGGGACTGATCTTAGAAACACTGAATTGCCCTTTAGAGGATGGTAGGTATGCTCTGTCAGTATCCTGCATGCTCAGTCACCTTCTAGTTGTATCTTTGTAAGATCAAAACAGAAGTTAAAAGTATTTTATTAGCCTAGCCAAGACTTTTTCTTTTTCTCTTTCTTTCTTTTTTATTTTTTTTAAAGAAATGATCTCACTACATGGTCTAGGCTGGTCCCAAACTTTTGAGCTCAAATGAACCTCCTGCCTCAGCCTCCTCAGTAAATGAAACTACAGGTGTGTGCCACTGTACTCACTCAGATAATTCTTAATTTAGAAAACATAAATATCAAAATACATGTATGAAGATTAGTTTGTCTTTAAAAGTTTGGTAAAATTCAGCAGTGAAGTCAGCCAACCCTGGGCTTTACAGTTTAGGACTGCCTTACTTGTATTTGATCTATTAGTATTTTGATGTCCTCATTGTTCAATTTTGGTAGATTGTATGTGTTCATCCATTCAAAATTCATCTATTTCTTATAGTTTGCATATAGGTTTTCATAATAATCCCTAATGAACCTATGTATTTCTGTGGTGTTGGTTACAATGTATCCTTTTTCAGTTCTGATTTTATATGATATGGACTTTGTATAATTTGTTTTTGGTTTATTCCAATTAAAGATTTATCAATTTATTCTATATTTTCAAAAAACCAACACTTTATTCCATTGATACTTTGTATTGTTATTTTTAGTCATTACTTCTTTTTTATAACTTTATTTTATTCATTTATTTTTTTATGTGGTGCTAAGAATTGAACCCAGTGCCTCACACATGCTAGGCAAGTGCTCTACCACTGAGGCCCAACCTCAACCACTAGTCATTATTGCCGCAGTCTGGCTGGGCACAATCAGGAGCCACTTGTCAAAAGAAACTAACTTTATTTTTAGAACCACACACGCCAAACAAAACAGCCTCTCAGGAAAAACCCTCAGAGCCTCAACTGCCACCACCGGCTTTCCACAAGCCTCTCTCTCCCCCACACGCTTCTCTCCACCTCCCACAATCCTCCTGATCTTGAGGCCGATTGGCTGGGTCATGTGGGCGGAGCCAAAAAGTCCCCCAATGAGCAGCTCCGTGGTCTGAAAGGGCAGGGAAACAGCCCAATGAGCATCACCACAGAGGAGCCAATCAGCTAGATGTTGCTGGGGCTGAGGAGCCAATCAGCTAGATGTTGCTGGGGCCGCTGTGAGCCAATCATCAGCCGGCAGCTGGAAGTTTGCTGGCAGCTGGAAGTTTGCTGGGGCCCCTTCGGCTGTGGCTCTCAACATCTCCCCCTCTCTGTTTATACAGCCACACCTGTGGAGAGGTCTTTGTACCAGCGGGGGGGGGGGGGGGAGGTTCTTTGCCTCACCTCTGTTGGCCCCCAAATTTTAGCTGGACGATCATGACAAGCAGAAGGGAGGAAGATACACCAAGCCAATTGACGGCTCCTTTTGGAAAAGTTGTACCACCAATGACATCATCAGCAAAAATACCCCAACACTACCACAAGTCGCTGCACCAACAGATAGTTCACAATGCATACAGGTGAGCTCACAATGTGTCCAGGCAAGTTCTGCAAGCAGTTCAGTGATGGCTATTGTAGAAGCTGTAGATTGGTTTTATCTTTGACTTCACCAGCACTGGGATGAAGATAGGAATTCTGGCAATAATGGCTAAAGAAAAAATTATGTAACATTACAGAAGGCACTAAAAGAAAACAATTTTCTTAACAATTTACATTATCTTTAAGAGAATTATTAAATATAATGAAAAGGAAAGGTGAAAGTAAACAAACAGATTTGTTAACCTTATTTTTTGTTTACATATTAAAACAATCCTCAACAGTTGTTTACCCAATTTAAATTAAACCATATAAATCACGTGAAAAAAATATTTGGATCCATTTTATCATGAGCACTCATCATATATGATATATGGACATACGTACATTCAAACATATAACACAAAACACAAGTGTGCACACATAATATAATACATACAACACATAACATTATAGTAAAGGCCTTATAACTTTTTACAGGTGAAATCTCCATTGCAATGTTTAAAAACTCTATAGCCAAAAAATAGAACTGATCAGCAAAACATTAACCTAGGTCTGTATGAGCTCAAAAAACAAAATAGAACTTCATGATATGGCAAAGGGCAATAATAAAATAGATATTGAAAAAAGCATCCTGGTTCTGTTGCAGATGTAAGAATAGCCAAACTGGAGTTTTGGATATCAGTTGTTATGGATTTGAGCCAAATCATCTTCTTTTTGGTCTGTAGAAATCGCTTTAGTTAATCTTTCTGGAATCCAAATCGGCTGCTGTTCTCCCTGTGGAAACACATAAACAGACCCCCGACTCCAGACAATCACTGGGTCAGGACCTTGGTTAATCTCTCTGGAATCCAAATCGGCTGCTGTTCTCCCTGTGGAAACATACAAACAGACCCCCGACTCCAGACAATTACTGGGTCAGGACCTTTCCATTGTCCTGTTAGAATATCCTTCCAAAGTACCTTGGGCTTATGCACATTTTTTGGACACATATGCCTTTCCACAGCACTAAGTCCTGATGAATCCAAATTTAAAAAGTTTAGAGTAAAAAGGGTTATTTTAAGTTTATCTTTGGGGAATATATACCCCTTCCCAAACTGCCACCACCGGCTTTCCACAAGCCTCTCTCTCCCCCACACGCTTCTCTCCACCTCCCACAATCCTCCTGCTCTTGAGGCTGATTGGCTGGGTCATGTGGGCGGAGCCAAAAAAGTCCCCCAATGAGCAGCTCCGTGGTCTGAAAGGGCAGGGAAACAGCCCAATGAGCATCACCGCAGAGGAGCCAATCAGCTAGATGTTGCTGGGGCCGAAGAGCCAATCAGCTAGATGTTGCTGGGGCCGCTGTGAGCCAATCATCAGCCGGCAGCTGGAAGTTTGCTGGCAGCTGGAAGTTTGCTGGGGCCCCTTCGGCTGTGGCTCTCAACAATTATTTATTTTATTTTTTCACTGATCTTTGTTATTTCTTTCCTTGTACTAATTTTGAATTTGGTTTGTTTTTGTTTTCTAAACTTTTGAGAAGCTTTGTATGTTCTTTGTTTGAAATCATTCTTTTTTGTTTATAGGCACTTACTGCTATATGCTTCCTTTTTACAGCTACTTTTCTGTATCCCATAAGTTTTGGTGTGCTGTTTTTCCATTTTCATTTGCTTTCAGAAATAATTTAATTTCCATTTCATTTCTACAATGACTCATTGTTTGTTCCAGAGTGTGTTGTTCAGTCTGCATGTGTTTGTGTAATTTCGAAATTTTCATTTTTTTATTGACTTCTATTTTCATTCCTTTTTTTTAAAGAGAGAGAGAGAGAGAGAGAGAGAGAGAGAGAATTTTAAT